TAGTGGCTCGCTCTTCGGGATGCTGCGCTTGGGCTCTTCAGGGTTGTCTTCTTTCTCCGAGTTCCAGCGAGCATCATCGTCGTCGGTCGGGCTAGACTTCCGTGACGGATCATCTGGGCTCGGCGCTCTGGCCGTTCGTCGCTTCCTGGACGTCTTCGACCGGCGTGCACTCCGGGTGCGAGCGCCCCATGACTCTGCCATCTCAACATCGTCCTGGTCAGCTTGCCCCCGCGGAGCCGGGATAAACGTCTGCGTCACTTGGCCTCCTGAACCTCCGGCATCCGGGATGGCACTTCCTTGGGCGGTCATCACCATTCCTGATGGACCCGCATACGGCATTTGAGATGCTGCGGTAGCCCCTCCGACTGACCAGCCTGAGGATAACGAGGAATGCGTCATCCGGGACGTCTGCGATCCCGAGGTGCCACTGATGTTGGATTCTTCCGAGCTTCTAGCAAATGCTCCGAATATACTCGAGGAGCGTCGCGAGCTTGGCGTCGTCATGGCATCTGGGAGAGACGAATCGTAGAGGCTTGGGTCGGCGTCCGGAGCGACTGGTGCGAGCTCAGGGACGGAATTGAAGACGGAGCAGGGTGCTGGAGCTTCAAGTCCGGTTCTCCAAGCGACGAACCAACGGGGCTCCGAACAGTCCGAATGCCGATGCCTTCCAGACGCTGCAGACAGTCAGGGCCAAGGACGCCGGCCTGGTAATCAGACATTAATAGATCGCCTTCCCGGTCTTCCGCCTTGATGTCTTCCGCATTGTCTTCCTCAGTATCGAGTTTCGGAACGTTCAGTCCAGGTGCAAAGACAACTCGCAATGGAACCTCTGAAGAAATGTTACGCCAATTCAGGAGTTCCAGAGCGAGCAAGTGTTGAAGGTCCTGAGCGACTCCCAACACAACTTCCGTGTTCAATCTGGACGTCCGAGTCTGAGACCATCGTGGAATCAGGTTGCGAAACCTGAAACTGGCCTCGAAGAACAGTGTCTGCAGGAGCGCAACGCACTCGACCACGGACAGCGTGTCCAAGTCGACACTCAGGGCGAACAGGTCATCGTCGACGGCATTCGGGGACAACCGCACCAGGTTCCACTCAGAAATCCAAACGTCGCTCTGGCGGGCCATCGACATCCGGGTTGTAATGTACTCGGAGGTCGCGTTTGCCGTGACGTACCAAGCCTGGAAGTTGGGTCCAGGGCTC